CGCCGCCTGCCAGGTGTAGACGCCAGGGAGCACACCCCGCTGCTTGGCCTTGAGAGGGGCTCCCTGCCGTTAGGGTAGAGATCGGGGAAACTCAGCCCAGGCGGGAAGGGACTTGCCCAAATCTCCAGACTTGCCCAAAATCTCCAGTTTTGCAGCTGCGGGGAGGGTCTCCCAAGAAACACACTTTTAAGACACCACTGTTCCTGGTTACCGACCCTTGGGGCTGGGCTGGCTTGGATTGGACAGGGTCAGGCTGGGTCAGGCTGGCAAAGCAGACCCTCTCCAGTCTCTGACGCCTGAAGGGGAGACCCAAACAGCCCTTCCCAGGCAGAGTCCAGATGTGATTTGGACTGCCTTCTCTGGGCCTCAGTTCCCCCACCTGAGTTCCAACGACTCTTTCAGCTCCTATCGCCCCACCCAAGCTTGTCCTCTGAGCCCTAGTTAGCCTAGAAAACCAGGACTACACCTTCCTCGGACAGAGACACCCCACTGGGGTGGGGTGGGGAGAGGACACACAAGCTCCTACAAGGAAACGAAGTTCTCGCCAAAGGTGGTGTCGCCCCTCAATGTGTCTGTCTGGGCTCCGTCACCACTTGGTGGGTGATCCCATGCCATTCCCTTCTCTGGGCCTCAGTTTCCCCATCTGTTCTATAGGGATAATACACCTTGCCTACATACTTGAGGACTCGGGTGTGTCAGCTGCTTCTTAAGCATGGTCCTGGGGCCACCTGCATCAGAATTACCCCGTGCAGATTCTGGGGCCCCACCCTAGCCTCACAGCATCAGAATCTCTGGAAACGGAGGCAGGGAACATGCCTTTATACAAGCATCCAGGTGATTCTTACACATGACTGGAGAAGCTACTGATAATATATGGTGAGCTTTTTGTAAAAGGTAAAAACTTCGATCTTTTTTTAAAAAATCTATGGCCACGTTTTAAAAATACAAATCTCTTCTTCCTTTCGTCACTTAAGACCACACGCCCCAAACTGAAAATCACTCTGCCTTTTGGATGCCAACTTGCCAAGGGTATGCTGTTGGTCTTTTCTTCCTTCCCTAGTTTGTATCCAAACGGTAGGTGTTATCTTTTCAGTTTTCCTATATTAGATTTTTAAATCATGCTTTTTCGACCTGTATACACATTCAACAGAGTCTGGAATTCTAGCTACGGCTTCCTCTCAGACTTTAAGTCCCTTTCTGCTCTGGATCAGTGTTTCCAGGAAAGGCCTCGGAAGGCCAGGCCCTGGACAGAGACAGGTCAGGCCTCGACTCATCAGAATCACTGGGTCATGACCGACCCCTAGTGGTGGCTTCTCTGGTTAACAGGGTATGCCCCAGGGCTGGGAGGTGACCCCCCAATGGTGCCCTGGAGGCTTCCACTCATTCTGGACCACCATTGTCATGTAGGGGTGAGAGGTCAGTCCCTTGTCCTTTGAACTCAGAGGCAGAAAAGAACAGAGTGGAAAACCTAAATATGTGTTGTTCTGGGCTCCCACAGACTTTTGGGGAGTACAGTCCAGCCCACAGCAGCCCTGCTGGTCATTCCCACCCTCTCCTACACACTCACACATACAAGCGCAAACACAGACATGGGCATGAACACACACTCGGCTTTGGTTACCAATAGGGCCTCTGCAGGGGCAGTCTCCTTTGGGGGGAATTAGCGAGGGCAGGAAAGAAGGCACTGGGGGCAGGGAGGCCCCCTTCTCTGAAAGAGGCTCTGAGACCTGGCTCTGCCTCTGACTTGCTGGGGCTTCCCCTCCGTGGTCTTAGTTTCCCCAGTTGAGAACCAGGGAATTGGACTAAATGCTCTAAGGTGTTCAAAACCTTTAGCCCATCCTCAAGACTGGGGAGGGTCTTTCAGGCCAGCTGAATGCCCAGGAGGCAACACAGCCCCAAAGGGGAGCAGCCGGAATGTCCCAACTGGGCTCAGAGCTGGAGTACAAGCCCCCACAGCCCACAGAGCAGCGCTGGCCTGTCAGGAACCCGGTGGACCAGCCTCCTGGGGCTGCAGAGATGTGGGTTCCAGCGTCCCCATCCTGTAGGACCTGGAGCTGCAGATTCTGACCCCAGAACTGCCTCAGAAATGCCAGATGGGCTTAAGCAAGTGATACCCGCCCCCCAGCTTTCTGAAATGACAGGTCAGCCCAAAGATACATACTAAAGAGGGGCTCTGGGAGGGACCGAGCTTTAGCCTGGGGCTACAGACTGGCTTCCAGGGTATTCAAACAGCTGGCCTCTGGGAGGGGTCAAGGGTTTGAGAGGCAGAGCTCAGAATCTAGGCCAAGCATCCAGAGGACCCCCTCTGGACAGCCCCAGGCAGTCTGGGGGAGGGATGGCGGGTAGCAGGTGCACCCGGGAGCATCTTTCACGAGGCACTAAATATTGCATGTGCTCCAGATAGGCAGCGACTTGGAAAGTGCACAGAGCAGACTGGAGTGGTGGCTGCTCCCCAGGCCACGTGTCCAGCCCAACCCCCACCCAGGAGTCCACCTCAGACTTGCTTAGCGCGGGCAATTCACACCACGGGCCCACTGGCCCCACCCAGAGGGAGGGATTTGGCAAAAAGCCAGCACGCCCTGCAGAGAAGGATGTAATCTGAATCCCACCCTGAGGAGACCCAGCCCCTCCTGGCAGCCTCACTCCCACCTCCTTCGCCTCCCTGTTCCCCAGTCGTCCTCCCACCTGCCCTCCAGCCCCTACTCTGCTTCCTCTGCACAACTCCTCCTCTTTCCCTGCTGCTCTCCTGCTCCAGTGTCCTCGACCTTCCTCAGAGTCTCTTTCCAGGGCACCACCCCCACCTCGGCCCATTGCTGACACATTCTCCCAGATGCCACAGTAAACAAGACCAAGTCCTGGAACCTCACCTTCACTCCCAGACGTGTGAAGGAGTTGGGACAAAGACCCACATACCGCTTGGCAAGAGATCTAGGGCCGCGGGGGCTCAGGGGGGCCCATGGATAGGCCAGGCTTCCTGCAGGAGGCTGCATTCCCCGCGTCTTAATTACGGCTCTGAACCCAGGCCTCTCCTTTAAGCTCCAGACCAGGAGCCAAAGGGACCCCGACATTCGCTGTTTTAAAGGCACTTTGCACCCTGAAGGTCTGAACTCAGGAAATATCCCGTAGTCAGCCCTGCTCTCTCCTTGTGAAGGCACCACCGTCCACCACACTCTGCACATAGAGCCCATAGTAACATCTCCCCTCCACTGCGCTGGAAGCTGAGGCGGGAGTCATTTCTGGTTTTCTGCTTGCTGTTACCGAGGCACGTAACACGGTACCTGGCACAAGACAGGAGGGGCGGGCGGGGAGGACGGACGCTTGGAGGCACCCAGTTTCTGGACTAACCATCTGCGTGCGGGCTGCCATTCATCCCAGAGGGAGGTGGGAGAGGAAGAGGCAGCTCACGGGGGACAGAGCTGAGCTCCACCTTGGATGCACGGGGTCCCGTGGAGGGGCGGGCCTGCCAGCACCTTGCTGCTTTGGCCAGCCCGGAGGGCACCTGCACGCCCTGGCCCAGAGCTGGCCCCTTCACCGCCAGGACAGGCATCAGCACGCTCAGGGCCCAGCAGGGCTGACTGTGTGTGTTCCCAGGGGACTGCCGCGTGGCCAATGCAGAGGAGAAGCTCGTGGACGACCTTCTGAACAAGACCCGCTACAATAACCTGATCCGCCCGGCCACCAGCTCTGCCCAGCTCATCTCCATCCAGCTCCAGCTCTCCCTGGCCCAGCTCATCAGCGTGGTAGGTGCCCACAGCGATGGCTCCGCAGCCCCGGCTCCAGGCACAGGAGGGGGGCGGGGGGCAGAGCCGAGCCAGAGGGCGCAGGGTTTCACCTCCAGCTTTCCCAGACTCGTAGACAAGCTCAGATTATTCATCCGCTCCTATTCCACATGCATAAATTAAGGAATCTGCCTAAACTCAGAAGGTCCCGACTGCCTCTAAGTCATGACTTTTTTGTTCCAATCTGTGCCTTTGTGTGTGTTCTTTCTGCTGGGCGTGCCCTGCCGGTCTGTGCACACTAGTCCACAGCTTGGAGCCACCTGCTAGCCCATGATCTCTATATTGATGACAGTGCCTTAACTCCCCAGTCACAGGACATCCGAGTACAAGTGGCTAAAACAGTAAGGACAACCCAAGAAAAGAGCAGGCCAATGGTGTCAATGTCAGTGTCAGAACCCGAGGCTGCTGTCCTTGATGGCAGGATTCTGTGATTCTGTTTCTCCCCCATGATCGTAAGATTGTGGCCACCGCTCCAAACAGAAGATCCTCACATGATAACATCTGTGGTGGATCCTTTCTTGGGTGTCGTTTTCAGTCTGAGGAAAACAGTCCCAGAGACCTGCCCTGGAGGCACCCGGGGCTACAGCTCATGCCTGGGCCTTACCCAGAGTTGGCTAAGACTTGTGGATACATGGCAAGGAGGCTGCAGAAGGGTCCGTGAAGCTCATGAGTGTCCAACATCTAACAAGGTCATGGTTTTGTTAACAAAGGAGATGTGGAGGGGGAACGACCGTTGGGTAGACAGCCAACGGGCTTGCCATTAGCAGATGGGCCTCCAGCATGGCCAGAAACTCCTCCTCGTCCTTGAAGCTCTACCCTATTATCGCCTCCCCTGGCCTGTTCAATAGATGACCTCACATTCCCCCACTTGTTGGGGGAGGTGGGAGCTGGGCTGTGGGAACTGCCTGCAGAGGCCCAGGTTGGACAGGACCAGCTGCTGTATGGGCCCAGCCAAGTGGGCGAGAGTCCGGACCGAGGAGGGCAGCTGTGCAGCCCTGGAAAGGAGGAACGGGTCGCAGAGTTCACAAGTAGGTTGTCAGCTCTTGATGTGTGGGTGTGGGGCAGGCGTAGGGGTGCTGAGGAGGCTGAGGTATCAGGGAGCTCCCCTTCCCCTCCCTGGCCTCTGAGCTGGGGGTGTCCAAAGGAACCATGGTCCACAGTGAACCTTCCCTGTGTGGCCCTTCCCGCGTCCCCACCCACGGGCTTGGACCCTGTCCCGAGCAGTAGCTCTGAGGGGAGCATTGTAAGGCGCTGTGTCCGGTCATGGGAAGGAGATAATCAATCGAGGGGCTGAACCTCCTGGGGACAGGTGGCTGCCTTCTCTCTCCCGAGCACAACCGGCCCCCACAAACCCGGCCCCTCCAAGCAGAGCCCTGGGAGGAAGCACAGCCCAAGAATGGGGGAAGGACAGAAAGCCTCTCTGTCCTTCCTCCCTCCGCAGGCCGACTGAAAAGAATAAGGGCTTCAGGCCAGGCCCAGGCTGGTGTCTGTTACTGTCCAGCCAAGGGCTTTTTGCGTAATGGGGTGAGCCCAGCTGCCACCTTGCAGCTGTTGCCCTGGTTAGGGGAAGCAGGCAGGTGGCTCTGGTCATGCCTCCAGGCTAAGGCTGCCCCCTGCCAGATCTACTCCGTGGGCCCTGTGACATAGCAGAAGTTACCAGAAGGAGGGGACACAGCCTCCAGCCCTACGCCTGGGAGTGTCCCCCTGTGTGCTGTTATCACCCTGAAAGCTGTGCACAGAGCGAATATTCAGTTCTAGGGGTTTTACCTTCTGTATTCCAGGCTCTGGCTTTCGAGCAGGGAGGATTATGGGCACGACCAGTTTAAAGACGGCAGTTTCTAGAGGGAAAGCAAGGAGTATGTGTTGGGTGAGGCGGGCAGGTCCTCAGCAGCAGCTCCCTGGGGTGGCCGGGGTCTTGAGCTGGTATCCTCAGGTGTGTTCAGCAGCCACTGGGGAGTGAACGGGAGTGAGGGACAGGAAGAGGTCCACGACGACTTTCTGAGTGATACGTCTTGAAAGGAGACGGGCTGTGTGGGTAATATGTTTGTTAAAAGTCATCACACTGTACACTTAAGACCTGTGCGTTTCACGGTGTGTAAGTTATGCCTCAACTTCAAACAAAAATGTTTTAAAAGACACCTTGTCCATGAGAACAACTAGAAAAGCTGTACAAAAATGCCTCCCCCTGCAAAAAACCGTCTGAAGTTCTTGAGAGCTCAGCCAGGACTTGAGGAACCAGGTTCTGGGAGGTGACCCTTCGGTCTCTGGTACTTTTCCCCACATACGAAGAGCGGTAAACAGCCCAGGGCTGAGGGGCTAAGAGGTTGGAAGCCAAGCTGAATGTCTGGTGCTCTCACAGGGCTGGGGGACACATGCCAGAGTTTGAGCCCCATGAGATGGGGAGATGAGGCCTTGGTGGAGACCCTGCAAAGACCACCCATAAGAGTACAAATGAATCAAAAATAGACCAGACCTCGCAAAAACTAACCCTGCTTTGAACCAGCTCAGTCACAAACTAGATTAAGATGATCTACTCCTCCTGTAACTGCCTGCCAATAAGCCAAAGTCAGTACTCCCTGGAGGCATATAAAGTCAGATAAAAATGGACCAGGTACACAAAAAGACAAGATGAAATAAGAAAAGACAGAAAAAAGAAGATAATGGAAACAGACCCACAGACGATTCAGATATTGGGCTGATCAGGCACAGACTTTAAAACAACTCCCATTAGCACAGCAAATTTTATGTTATGTGTATTTTACCACTATTAAAAATAAATAATAAAGAAATTTAATAATAGGTTCATTTTTCTAAGTAAATAAATATTCTTAAAAGGAAAATAATACTTATACCTTCAAGAAAATTATAATATGGAGAATTTAAAATTCATTACATGGTTTTTTTTTTCTTAAAGATTTTGTTATCTTTCAGTAATCTCTACACCCAACGTGTAGAATTACTTAATCTGAAACTTACAACTCCAAGATCAGGAGTCGCACACTCCACCGACTGAGAGCCAGGCACCCCCATTGGATGAGTTTAATAGCAGATTGGTAATGTAGCACAGGAGAAGGTTAATGAACTGGAGGAGAGGCAAATAGCAAATAAATCAACAAATGACAGAAAAAAAGGATGGAAAACACAGAAAAGAATATAATGTAGTACACGAAAAAAGGGTCAGTTCTGTCACATGTATTTGGAGTTACAGGAGAAGTGAAAATAAAGAATAAGACAGAAACAGTGTGTGAGTGACGCTGGCAGAATTTTCCAAAACTGGCCAAGGACATGAGGCTACAGATTCAAGAGTCTCTGTGAACCCCATGAGGGATAAATGTAAAGAAAACCATGCCCAGGTTCATCTTACGCCAACTCCCAACAACCAAAGACAAAGAGAAAAACATAAAAGTGGTCCCCGCAGGGAGGATGGGGGCAGGGTGGGGGCAATAATAACACCAATAGATAAAATCGGAAGCCAGGAAACTGAATGACATCTTAAAAGTGTTGCAAGAAAAAAAAACAGCATGCCTAGAAGTGGATACCCAGTAAGAACTTCAAAAATGAGGGTTAAGTAAAGATGTTTTCTGAGCAAAAAATAGAGAATTTAACATAAGAAGACCCAATATAAAGGAGGCATTAACCATAAAGGAAAATGACCCCAGAAGGAAACACAGAAATGTAGGAGAGGATGAGCACAACAGAAAGTGTAAATGTATGGGAGAATTTAAATTAATATTGACAGGATAAAACAATAACTCACAAGGTTGTAATTAAATACAGAAATTAAATAATGACAACATTAACCCACAAGTCAGAAGGGGACAGATGGAGCTGAAATGTTCTAAAGTTCTTGCCCCTGTTCTGGAAGTGGTAATCACTAATCTATATTAGATTCTGACACATCAGGTATATGTGTATTGTAGTCACCAGGGTAACTACTAAGAGTCATGGAGTGCCTGGGTGGCTCAGTTGGTTGAGCGTCCGACTTCGGCTCAGGTCAGGATCTTGTGGTTCATGAGTTCGAGCCCCACGTCAGGCTGTGTGCCAACAGCTCAGAGCCTGGAGCCTGCCTAGGATTCTGTGTCTCCCTCTCTCTCTGCCCCTCCCCTGCTCGCACTCTGTCTCTCTTTCTCTCAAAAATAAATAAAAACATATACAAAATTAAAAAAAAATAAGAGTCATGTTAATATACAGAGAAAATGGCATAATAAAATAATTAAAATACAGCAAGAAAAAGAAAAGGGAATGTACAGGAAATAGATGGTAGGTTTAAACCCAAATATAATCAGCACTACATTAAACGTAAATGGTCTAAATACTCTAAGTAAAACAAGACAACTGGCACGCATCCTTCTCTTGCTTCTTCCCACTTCTGGAACGTGGACACAATGGTTGGAGCTCTAGCAGCCATGCACTGGACCATGCCTGGACCATGCACTCTAGGTGTGGTAGAGAAGAGAGTTGGAAGGAACATGGGTATCTAAGGATTCTGTAGAGCAAAACCACTATATATGTCCAAACTGTAAACTTTCTCTAAGCCAGTGTTACCCTGGGTCTCTGTTAGTCACAGTTGAAATTCATCCTACTGATATCTTTACCCAGGTGGGGGTTCAGGAAAGGCTCTTTGTGGAAGTGACTCCCAAGCTGAGATCAAGGTGCTAGAAGTTATCTTGGTGAAGAGAAGGCAGGGAAAATGGTATAGACTGTAAACACATTCACAGGGGGAAGGAAGGCCAGGGGGTGGGCAGAGCACAGAATAAAGGGGCATGGGGAGGTGAAATGGGGCTGAGACAGTTGGCAAGGCCTTGCAGACCCTCTGGAGGAGTTAGATTCTTATTATGTATGTATGTGAAAGAAGCCACAGAAGTGACTCGAGCAGGGACAGGATTGAGAGGGAAAGTTTACCTGGCTACACAGGGAGACGGATGTTGGGAGTGCGGGGTGCAGAATAGACACAGACTACTTGGGAGGGTCTTACGGTGGTCTAGGTGAGAGATGGATTATGGTGGTCTGAATTATTGTGGTAGGACTCTTATGCCCTTCAGAAAATATTCACCAAGTATCTGACACATCCCAGGCAGCCCTCCAGGTGCCCTCTGTCCTCAAGGAACTTAAATTCTATGGCAGAGAGCACACACATAGATGGCATCCAGCAGCCATGGTGTCCAGAGCCATGAAGAAAAATAAAGCAGGGTAAGAGGGAGAGAGAAAAGGTTCTGTGTTGTGCAGGAAGGTTAGGGAGGACCTGAAGAAAGTGAGGACATTAGCTGCCTGGGTTTCCAGAAAGAGGGAACAGCAGGAGCAAAGAAAGAAGCTGAAGCAGAATGAGCAGATGGGAGGGCATGAGGTTCTAGAGCTGAGGGAGGAGGGCGGGGAGGCAGACGGAGCAGGGCCATGGGGCCCTGAGCAGGACGTTGGCTTTTACTTTGCGTGGGATGGGAGGGAGTGCAGGGTTTCAGTGGAGCAACAGTCTGAGACGTTGAGAAGAACCTTTTAAAAGCATCACCCTGGGGGCACCTGGGTGGCTCACTCAGTTAAGTGTCCGACTCTTGATCTCTGCTCAGGTTGTAGTCTCGGGGCCATGAGTTCAAGCCCCGCGTTGGGCTCCGTGCTGGGCGTGAGGCCTACTTAAAGAAGAATAACAATAAGAATAAAAAGGATAGCCCCGGCTGCTGAGTAGAGGCTAAAGGCAGGCTGGGGCAGAGCAGGAGGACCAGAGGGAGGCCACTAGAGTAGTCCAGGTGACAGATGGTGGTGGCAGCCAAGACAGGAAGAAGCAGACCAGTCTGGCTTGTGGGGGTCATGGCTGGGGGTGCCATTCACGGGGAAGGCAATGCCAGTGGACGACCGGATCTGGGTGACCGTCACAAGCTTTGTCTCAGACGCGCTGGGTGTGAAACCCTTCTGAGCCACCCGAGAGGTGGTGCGGCTGGTGGGGGGGGGGGGAGCTCACACAGCCCTGGAGCGAGCGTGAGGCCCCTACCGGCGAACTCATAGCCCCGTTTCCCTCCCCAGAATGAGCGGGAACAGATCATGACTACCAACGTCTGGCTGAAACAGGTAAGTGTCCTCCAGGCCCCGCAGCGCGGGGGGCGTTTCCTCCAGGGCCGCCCCTCGGTGGCTCCGGACCTCCAAGTGACAGGGCCTTGCCTGCCTGCCCAGGAGTGGACCGACTACCGCCTGGCCTGGAACAGCTCCCACTACGAAGGCGTGAACATCCTGAGGATCCCTGCAAAGCGCATCTGGCTGCCTGACATTGTGCTTTACAACAAGTGAGTGGCAGGGTTGCCGAGGCGGCGAGGGCCAGGCCGGGGCAGCAGCCCCAGCCTCTGAGGGTCGGCAGGTCGTGAGTCAGCCCCGGGCCTCAGCTGTGCTTTCCTCGCTCCTCTAGGCTGTGAGGCTGGAAGAGGAATTAGAATGAGCAGAGCCGGCACCCTCTGTCACCAGCGGGGAATTGGAGGCCCAGAGAAGGGGAGGGCCTCGCTGCTCATCCAGCACAGCTGGGGGGCCAGGGCTGGCATCTGCACCCCACCCCAGGGCTCTTCCTGCCCTCCATACTGTCTCGTTGACCCTCAGTTGCTTTGTCAACGTTGGGCATTGGTAGCATTGGCTGACGATGCGTAAATAGCATACAGGGAGCAAGAGACTCTTGTGAGGTCAGTGTTACCAGTGGAAGCACGAAACACGTTTGTGGTCTGGGAACAACAGACCTGAGTTGGGATCCTAGCTGGTAGTCTCACTTCACTTCCCTGAGCCTCGGTTTTCCCATCTGTAAAATGGGGTAACCACAAAACCCAGCTCCTTGCTGTGAGGCTCACTCAGCT